TTGCGGAGGCGGGTTTATTGCCGTTGTCACCACCTTGCGGAGGCGGGTTTATTGCCGTTGTCACCACCTTGCGGAGGCGGGTTTATTGCCGTTGTCACCACCTTGCGGAGGCGGGTTTATTGCCGTTGTCACCACCTTGCGGAGGCGGGTTTATTGCCGTTGTCACCACCTTGCGGAGGCGGGTTTATTGCCGTTGTCACCACCTTGCGGAGGCGGGTTTATTGCCGTTGTCACCACCTTGCGGAGGCGGGTTTATTGCCGTTGTCACCACCTTGCGGAGGCGGGTTTATTGCCGTTGTCACCACCTTGCGGAGGCGGGTTTATTGCCGTTGTCACCACCTTGCGGAGGTGGGTTTATTGCCGTTGTCACCACCTTGCGGAGGCGGGTTTATTGCCGTTGTCACCACCTTGCGGAGGTGGGTTTATTGCCGTTGTCACCACCTTGCGGAGGTGGGTTTATTGCCGTTGTCACCACCTTGCGGAGGCGGGTTTATTGCTGTTGTCACCACCTTGCGGAGGCGGGTTTATTGCCGTTGTCACCACCTTGCGGAGGCGGGTTTATTGCCGTTGTCACCACCTTGCGGAGGCGGGTTTATTGCCGTTGTCACCACCTTGCGGAGGTGGGTTTATTGCCGTTGTCACCACCTTGCGGAGGCGGGTTTATTGCCGTTGTCACCACCTTGCGGAGGTGGGTTTATTGCCGTTGTCACCACCTTGCGGAGGCGGGTTTATTGCCGTTGTCACCACCTTGCGGAGGTGGGTTTATTGCCGTTGTCACCACCTTGCGGAGGCGGGTTTATTGCCGTTGTCACCACCTTGCGGAGGTGGGTTTATTGCCGTTGTCACCACCTTGCGGAGGCGGGTTTATTGCTGTTGTCACCACCTTGCGGAGGTGAGATACTGCTAGCACATTGCGAATGTGTATTAATGTGTTGGAAACCTTGAGCAAAAACCCTGCGAGGGCTTTGTAAGGCTGTGGCCCCTGCGACGGGCCTCGAAACTTTTGGATCTACCTGCGAGGTAGATGTAATATTTACCTTTTGCAATGGCCAAAAACATTTTCTCACGCCACCAGCTTATTCTACAGCGGCAGTAAACCTCTATGCGCTCTTAGTATTAGGAGAATCTCAGAACGATGTCCGCAAACAATCTGTAATAAAGCTTAAGACTAGGTACTTACTAAAATCCCCTGTGGAAAAAGGGTACTTTTGAAGTAGCATATCACATGTAGCAGTTAGCAGTTTGAAGGGTTCCGAAAATCCCGTGTTAAAGTGCACACAATATTCAATCAAGTATACCATTAACTTTAAACTCAAACTTAATATCAAAGCAACAAAATATATAATAGGAACGCACTTCGGTTCTATATTTGCATAGTCATCTCACTTTTGCAAGATAATTAGGTACAACAGACAAATAACTGTGCAATATTATTAACAGTCGAACAGAACCTTCGTTCTTTGTTCGTATAGTGGTACAAATCCACCCGATTTTCTGAGCAATAGCTATAGCATAGGGTATCGCGTCAGCAATTCCACGTATGCAATATACAGTCCAAGACTGTACCGAATTAACCAACAGTTCTGTTGGGAGCACAGCTCTTGAGTTTTATCCGAAGACACACTTTGATAGACATACAATTTCAAAACAATTTATCAGGTCATCAACATCAAAATAATATTCTTATAAATTTTCAATAACATTAGACAGAAATGCATGGTCCAAAATGGTACTCACGTACAAACAATCTATTGCTAAAGGTTACGTACCTGTTTAGATAGTTTTCGAAACTTACGTTTAGATCGACACTTCCATACGAAGAAGTGTTCAGGAACAACATGAATAATCGCAATTATTACCTGAATTTTCCATAATAGATAACGAAAGAATAATCTTTATTTAATTTAAAATTTTTACAATTGTAATAAAAGCCGTTAGGACATTTATCACTTTTATAAAAAAGAAATAATAATAAATCGGAAGGTAGTTTCACAACTAGTGAATGGTTGTCTTGTGACTCACAAGGCACAACCGTTTACGGCGGGAAACAAGACGCCAATGAAATGAAAATGGCGAGTCTCTCTTAGCAAGCCTCCCCACCACTGCCAAATGGAAGTGACGTAGTAGAAAGAGATAGACATACAGGAAAAGCGGAAGGAGGGAAGCGGAAGGCCTATCTCAATTAAATAAGCTTCGAATAACGGTCAAGTCAAATTAATGCAAGAATTATAATAGATGATACTTTGTAGGTAGATGAACAATATGCTATGCAACACTTTTACATAATTTATTAAAATTATTAAGATAAAAAGTAATAACAACTAAAACTTAGAGTAGTTATGTTCTGCCTGCTTCCATTACTTTTAAGTCATAAGTTGAGGAGGCAGTTAAGTAATGTTAATTACTTTACTGTTAGCACTTTCAATATCACCAACATTTTCCAAGTGATAAAACTATTTCCATGTTTGCAGGGAGGAGCTCTGCTCCCAGTAACCAGTCAGCCCGGATTTCACATGATGATTCCACTATTAACATCATACAAATCAATACAGGTGGGTACATTCCAATTAGATTTCACATTTTTAATATTTCTTACCAATCTTAATATATTTAACAACAAAATGTATATCTTACTTTTTTAAATGAACTTGATAAAATACTAAAGCTAAGTTTTAAATACAATTAAAAATAATAAACACAAAAAATTATAAACATATATTTTATTTGAGGATACTTCCCTATTTTGTAGTGCACTAAACTACATGATACCAGGGACTTTGATCATAAGAAATTCAATTGACTAATGTAGTTAACCTTAATTTAGTAATTGGTAATTGTAATCTCTAGCCATGAACGAGATGTGAGCCGAAATGACCATCAATTGCTAATGTATTGTACCAAGTGATCAATTATTATTACATAAGTAATGGACTTTGCTGTTTGAGATATTGTGTTTTAAAAATAAGTTTTATGGAATTGATAATTAGTGTCATTTTGATATGTTTTATTCTTTGACAATTTTGACACCCCCTCGAGCAACACCCAGGGTGGAAGAAGTTGATGATTGTCAGCTCACATAAATACCCATAGAAAAATAGTTAGTGAAAAAGGGCTATTGAATTAAAAGAAAATCTGACGATTTGCAGAAGTGTTTTAAATACATTTATTATGGTGTTCTGAATGATTTTCTTTTTTTTTGTAGACAACTCTACAGACTGATGAGGTGAAGAATGTTCCATGTGGTACAAGTGGTGGTGTGATGATATACTTTGAAAGGATTGAAGTAGTCAACAAATTGGAACCAGTCAGTGGTAAGGTTCAAGAAACCTTTAATATAAAAAAATTCAAGAGGAAACATAAGCAATGCACATCATTATTAACAAAATTCATTGTGACCATTTAAAAAATAGTATGTATTTCATTGTAATTCTAATATTTTTTTCTGCTTTCCAGTGCTAGACATGGTGCGTAACTTCACGGCGGACTACGACAAGACGTTAATATTCAACAAGGTGCACCACGAACTGAACCAGTTCTGCAGTGCACACACACTACATGAAGTTTATATTGATTTGTTTGATCAGATCGACGAAAATTTACGAACCGTTAGTACTTATAAGAATTCTAGCAATTATTGTTAGTCATGGTACCTATATGCTAATAAAGCAATATTCAAGAATAATTCTCGTATTTCTACAGGCGCTCCAAAGAGATCTGCATGAAATGGCGCCTGGCCTTAGAGTGCAAGCAGTCAGAGTAACAAAACCAAAGATACCAGAGTCAATCCGCAAGAACTATGAGCTCATGGAAGCTGAGAAATCAAAATTACTTATTGCTGCACAACATCAGAAGGTAATTAATTAATTGTATCTACGTCATAACTCATGTCGCGTTGTCATTAGTGGTATATCTACGTTCATTGATTGAGACTTCTTCTTAAAGTGATATTCTTAAGTTATTTTGTGTTACCTTTACTTTGCTATACTTATTTGTTCATCTCAAGGCAAATTTGAGACCCGTTACTTAGTTAGGTCAACTTACTCCAAAAGTAAACGTTTTAAAACTAATATTTCTATTTACAGGTAGTGGAAAAAGAGGCAGAAACAGCCAGGCGCAAGGCTGTTATCGAAGCTGAAAAAGAGGCGCAAGTTGCGAAAATCCAGTATGAACAAAAAATTATGGAAAAAGAGTCTTTACAGAAGATCGAGCTCATTGAGGATAGTATCCATAAAGCAAAACAACAAACCAAAGCAGAGGCGGAATTCTACAGTTTGAAGAAACAGGCTGAAGCTAACAAGATGTTGCTAACGAGAGAGTACTTAGAACTAAAGAGATACGAAGCTCTTGCGCTGAACAACAAAATATACTTTGGTAGTGATATTCCTAACATGTTCCTGCAGGCTAATGTCGGTGATAGTGTTCCAATCCCTAAAAGCCATGTTGAATGAGTGTTAATCACATTGAATCACCTGCTAGTCACGGAATAGCGGCGACAAGCCACAAGACTGCATATCAGTGATACCCACATGACTTTTTTAACTCATAGTTGATATGTACTGGGTTATACAGACAGACAATCAAAAGGCCCTAGCAGGAGCTTCATCAACTTTTGTATCAATTTGATGGTATTAGATAAGTACAGAGTGCTTCAGATTTTTATCAGTTACCTCTTAGCTGGTTTGTACAGAATACGAAGTTCAAGATTCTCTAAAATAATAATATAACTGCAGTTACTATACTATTGTGACAATATAATTGAATTTAATCTTCTAATCTCATTGTATAGATGTCTATAAGAGTGCATTATGACTTATTTTTCAAGAATTGTGATATTTATTGTCTAAATGTTCAAAAGACACTATGTAGTAAGGAGTGAACAAATAGTGAATTGTAAATGTAATGCATCACATTGGCTGCACTCAGTTTATTTGACTGATTACTGTTCTGGTGTTAGATTGTCTTTGTACATAGCTTTTTTAAATGTGAAATAAAAGTCAATATTTGTGGAAAAATTTTGATTTTATTCAAATGTAAACTTAAAATTAAACTGGCTGCACATCTTAGATTTTGTTGAAAGCAGCAATATCAACAGACTGGACGAAGTCTTCGAATTCCTGGATTTTTTCAGTCAAGAGATCAACAGAGACTTTGTCATCTTCAATGACACACATGATCTGCAGTTTGTTGATACCATATCCAACAGGTACAAGTTTGGAAGCTCCCCAGAGGAGACCATCCATTTCGATGGTGCGGACCTGGTTTTCCATTTCTTTCATGTCTGTTTCATCGTCCCATGGCTTTACGTCAAGGATTATAGATGATTTAGCAATGAGAGCAGGTTTCTTCGATTTTTTGTCAGCATAAGCTTTCAGGCGTTCTTCACGAATTCTGGCAGCCTCTGCATCCTGTTAACGAATATTTCGTTCAGTTAGTGCTATTTAATTCGATTTTTATTATTTGAAAGGACATACATTGGTTAAAAGTTACTGACCTCTTCCTCGTCGCCAGATCCGAATAGGTCGACGTCATCATCGTCGTCATCCTTAGCAGCGGGTGCAGGTGCTGTGGTGGTCTTTCCGCCAGCGGTCAGAGGGCTAGCACCAGCTGGCCAGGATTTGCGCTCCTCGGCATTGTAAGAGGCAATCTGGTTGTACCACCGGAGAGCGTGGGGCAAGCTTGCGCTCGGGGCCTTGCCGACTTGTTGAAATACTTGGAAATCGGCTTGAGTTGGTGTGTAACTATAAATAACCAAAGTAAGTACGTCTGATTATGGCGGACAAGTAATAAACAGCTGCTTATCAAGGTCATTGATCAAACTAAGCTAGAAAGATAAGACGACATAATAATTTTATTCATTGTTAGTAGCCTATTACAAATTAACGACCCACTGACCGGATTAATATTCATGGCTTATAAGAATTTGAGGTTATATTGAGTTCTAACTAAATTTCAGGTTGACGTGGAACTAATCTTTATCAAAAATGTAACTTACCCTGACACATAACTCTTATCAGCTAAGAAATTGTTAAGCTCATTAAGGCCTTGTGCGGTTTTAACGTCTCCTACGGCCATTTTTATTTAAAAATGTAGTATTTTTCGAGTAATAGCCACACGCCCCGGCACAATGTGAGCAAGAAGGAATGAAAAAGAAATCTGACATTGACATTGCAATGAAATTGACATTCAAAGAACGAATGAATTAAAATGAAACTAATTTGACCGGCTAGTGATGTACTTCAAACACAGCTATCAATAAACGATAAACATCTTTCAGGGGAAAAAAGTCGACTAATTAGAAAAGAAAACCGCAATTATGAGCGAATAGTCGGTCTTTGCCTTGTTCATGAAGTTATTGACAATTTGACAGTTCTTGTATCTGTCACTTATCTAAAGATTTTCAATACATATTTTTAGGTACGAATTTTACGAAAATACGACGTATATTCCAATAAGCAGGAATTTTTGATAGTTTTAAACGCAAACTTACTTAAAATAAAGTATTTACGCACCCATTATTCACTATAAATATTTAGGTTAGGTGTTGATTCTTATGTAATAATAACAGAAGAATTGCTTATATTTGATGTGTTTTAAAAGGATTGTCTTCTAGTGCAAAGATTATCGTGTCATTAGGCTACCCGTAAAATAGATTTCGAGTGCAAACAGCTGTGTAAAGTTATACAATAAGCGTGATATTGGTTGTAAACGTATTGGTGTTTGCTGCAGAAAATGCTGCGCCAGCCGCTAACTAGGGCGCTTAAGCTGAGTTCGCCGGCGCGAGCAGCGCCGCTGGCGGCTCGCACCTTCTCTGCACAGCCCCCAGCACCAGAAAAATTTGAAGTCTTCATTGATGACAAACCTGTCCAAGTAGAGCCTGGCACCACTATCTTACAAGTTAGTATATTCTTTATCATGTCAAACAAATTGAAATGGCCCATTTACTGACTCTTACTCTCTTTCGAAATACCTTAATAAACTGAAAGTGATGACTCAAACTATGGCATTGATAAAATCATGTTTTTATGATTATGTTCTCCAAACATTAAAGTACAAGACAATATTCACTTACCGAGATGCGTTAAATACACATAAAACTATTCTTTGATGGTTGTCAAAAATAGAATTTAAGCTAAAATATCACTTCTTAAATATTCTTCTAAGAGAAATGGTAAAACTTGAAATTGGCTTCATTACAGATAGTTGTGAAATATATGTATTGTTTTTTTGCTACAAATAGGCAGCAGCCCTAGTAGGAGTAGAGATCCCCCGTTTCTGCTACCATGAGCGTCTTGCCGTCGCTGGTAACTGCCGCATGTGTCTTGTGGAGATCGAGAAGTCTCCCAAACCTGCAGCAGCATGTGCTATGCCTGTGATGAAGGGAATGAGGGTCAAGACCAACTCAGATTTGACAAAGAAAGCCCGTGAGGGTGTGATGGAGTTCCTCCTTGTAAACCACCCTCTGGATTGCCCTATCTGTGACCAGGGTGGTGAATGTGACTTACAAGATCAGTCCATGGCCTTTGGTTCAGACAGGAGTCGCTTCACTGACATTCATTTCTCTGGCAAGCGGTGAGTGTTTGAATTTTTATAGCATTATGATACCTAGTTAGATACTGTTATTGTAGTGATAAAATATAAATACAGATTAATCATGGTAATTTAAATCAATTAAAATTGATTACTTGATCCAGTAATTAATGTATAGGTAAATGAGTTGTCAATTGTTATTTGTAAGTAGTTAGTTAATAATTTTTACAATTTTAGATGTATACTTATTGTTGAAGAATTTAAGTGCTACAGAATTAACTAAAGATTTAATTTTTCTTTCTAATGTTCATTTGTTTAAGAACCATAAGAAAAGTAATCAAACTGGATGCAATAACAAAACACAACTAGAAAGAAGCTCAGTGTTTGTTTAATTTTTTTTCTCATAGTGCTGTTGAAGACAAGGATGTGGGTCCTTTGATCAAAACTATTATGACCCGGTGCATTCACTGCACAAGATGCATCCGGTTTGCATCAGAGGTGGCTGGTGTTGATGACTTCGGTACTACCGGTCGAGGTTCTGACATGCAGGTTAGTTGAATAAAAATAAGTCATGAATTTTCATTGAAAATTGATTGATGAATGGATGTTCTTTCATATAAATAATTAAAACCTCATTCTTTAGTAATTGACCAAAGAAATTGTAATACTTTAACGTTTGTCCTCAGGTTGGCACCTATGTAGAGAAGATGTTCCTATCGGAGCTGTCTGGCAACATCATTGATCTGTGCCCTGTTGGCGCGCTCACTTCTAAACCCTACAGCTTTGCTGCACGACCCTGGGAGACCAGGAGGGTAAGTTGTTCAAATTACTTGATTAGATGCAATATTTTCTTTTTTGGTAATATTGATCTTTTTAACCTGTTTTGTTGGTTGAGTCGTCGCAAATACGACTGCCAACTTCGGATATCAATCGATCAATCCTAGGTCGGATAAAGAGTAATAAGTATTTTTGGTTTTTAAAATTCTGTACAGACTAGATTCGTTAGGTATGTTTGGCATGGCGATTGCTCCCTAATTGATAAGCGACAGGCGAAAACTACTATATTTAATAGTTTTTGCGTTTTTGCCTTGACGTGTTATGTTTATGGTATAAAATCGGAAGTTAATGCTAATCTTTTTATTTATCTTTATTTCAGATCGACTCTGTAGATGTTTTAGACCCTCTGGGTAGCAACATCGTAGTTGCGACGCGTACCAATGAAGTACTCCGTATTCTCCCGAGGACCAATGAGGTAAGATCCAATGAAACATTTATAAGTTATTTCTTATGCTACATTCAAGTTTTCAACTTTTATCACAATATGACATAGAAGTAGACATATAGTTTGGGTGTCTACTGTCTATTGCTAACTGAGCCCTGTTTAGTGTGGTTCGTAAAGGAACCCTGACTAGACAATCAAATCAAATACCATTAAAAAACATATTTTTACTTCTAACCTAATTCGTTCGTTAGTCCTTTAATTAATGTTCTCTTGCAGGAGATCAACGAGGAATGGTTGTCGGACAAGTCTCGGTTTGCCTGTGACGGTCTGAAGAGACAGCGACTGGTGACTCCGATGATGAAGGACAGTCGCGGAAACCTCACGCCTGTAGAGTGGGAGGATGCTATGGTCGCCGCTGCCAGGGCTCTGCAGAACTGCCCCCCTAACAAGGTATGTTGCTTATTGAAATGATAATCAACATAATCCTTTAATTAATTAGTTCTGAGTTTAAAAAAATAGTGGTCTAATTTGACTTCTTAGCCTCACTTTTATAAAGTATATTTTGTCTTGTTCATCTGCAGCTTCTGGCTGTAGCCGGTGACCTGGCTGACGCGGAGTCACTGGTGGCTCTGAAGGACCTGGTGAACAGGCTGGGGTCTGAAAACACCTGCACCGAGCAATACTTCCCACTAGAGGGCGCCGGCATCGATCTGCGGTCCTCATACCTCTGCAACACTAAGATCGCCAGTGAGTTCATTAATTGTTTCGGTTTCATTGCTCTAACTTATTCTAGCGGTTATTTTTGAGATCATGTCAGTATTTTTACGTGGGTAAACCGTTATTTTTTAGTTGATTCAGATTTATATCAGTTTTGCCTTTCTAGAAATGGTCTTGGTATATAGGGAGGAAGTAGGCGCAAGTAGGCGTAATAAACCTGGAACTTATACCACTTTTATCTGTGGAATAAAATTCACGATTGACTATAAACTATTTTTACATAAATTGTAACTATTCTCAGATGTGGAGGACTCCGACTTCGTGCTTCTGATCGGCGCGAACACCCGTTTCGAGGCGCCACTGTTGAACGCTCGGATCCGCAAGGCATACATTCACAAGGACACCGATGTAGCCTTCATTGGACCTAAAGTGGACCTGACTTACGATTACACGGTAAGGGAATCTTTATACAGTTATACTTTCTATGCTAATCATATAATGAGGACACATTTGATTGTTCGGAGCATTCAAAAGGTTCCAAAACTACTGGGAAAAGCCCTTCATCATTGGGAAGCGTACATTTTTAGAGAGTAAAATGGGTACTTCTTGACTGACTTCAACAACAGGTGGAAGTAATCAATTCAACCGTATTTTATATACCGGTATTTGTATAAAATCGATATCTATTTAAAAGAAATCTTTTAAACTGTCAAACACCAAGCGGTCACCGGTGACCGCAACCTATTGTTCTATAATTGTGTCTATAATGACGGTACTTGACGAGTTAAATAATATCACGTTTTGTTTACAGCACGTAGGTGACTCTGCTTCCGTACTGAAAGACCTGGCTTCAGGAACGTCATCTCACGAAGTGATGAAGCGTCTGGAGGCTGCCAAGCGTCCTGTGGTGATCCTGGGTGCGGACCAGCTGAAGACTCCTGAAGGAGCCGCTATTCTCGCATACACTCAGGAACTGGCTCTACGTCTGCAGGACAAACTCGAGGATAAGAGCTGGAAGGTATGTTGGTAGACTTGGAGTATAGTGAGACTATCATGTGTGGGTAATAGTTGTTGATGGATTGGGTCACTAGTGTCATTTCATCACATTAGTAATGCCTTTGGCTGGTTCAGACTGAAGAATATTTGATTGTTTCATCAGTTTGGCAGATACTCTGCGTAATTAAAGAATAACTCGAAATATCTAGAGAACGCAAAATGATGATAAATAAGTTTTTAATACCATTTTCATAGATACTCTCTTTATTATTTTCAAATTCTGACGCCCATATTTGGTCTAGGTATTGAACGTGCTCCAGCGCACAGCGTCCCAGGTGGCAGCACTGGACATCGGGTACAAGCCAGGCGTCGGGCCTGTCCTACAGGACGGACCACACGTCGTGTACCTGCTGGGGGCGGACAGTGGAGTCGTGTCCAGGGACCAACTGCCTAAAGACGCTGTTGTTATTTACCAAGGCATGTTACATATTTTTTTTACGTGGGAGAACCATGCTTAGACACGAATGGGCTGGTTTGACTGAGGTGCAGCCTCACAGATAACCGGCATGAGAAAACGCTTGCGTTATGTTTTGCAATGTGGTAAGATCCAATCCCCCACCAAAAAGACTGCCAACTCACTTGTCACTCCTCTAGTGTTGGGTGCCCATGGGCGACTCTGAGTTCTAACATTATCTTATTGTTATGGTATGTCTTTATCTGGTAAAATGGAATGGTGTATGACGTTAATTCAAAGGGATATCAATTATTTTTAAAGAGATATCTAATTCTTGCACAAGTGCCTAAAGAAGAAAGATGCATGCAGTTGTTATCAAAAAACTATCCTTATTAGTTGTCGCGAAGAACTTAACGGGTAACCAGGGCTCCGGCTCGACGTGCAGGAGGAGGAACGGGGTGGTCTTTAGTCAGTAAGAGTCTGACACTCCCTCCCGCCTCACCCAGGCGGGAGCAGTCATTGATGATTTTCCCCCCTTAAAAAAAAATCCTTAGTAGTATCGAAATAAAGATACCTTTAATTAATCCCACGATACTTTGGTCCAGGTCACCACGGCGACGTGGGCGCGGCGATGGCTGACATAGTCCTCCCCGGCGCGGCCTACACAGAGAAGCGCGCGACGTACGTCAACGCGGAGGGACGCGCGCAACAAACACTCGCCGCCGTCACTCCGCCTGGCAAGGCTAGGGATGACTGGAAGATCATCAGGTACGTGACTTAAGGCTGTGTTACGCCAACAACGCACTTGTAATGCCTTTGGTGTTGTGGGTGTACATGGACGACGCTAATCATAAAAATATGTATAGTTAACGTTTAATAGTTTATCCCCATTTTCATCAAAATATTCGGCCACATAAGAAAATTGGAAAAATGTCACAAAAAACAAATCACCTTGAAAAATAAAACACACATTACTATATTACTTCGTGTCTATAACTAACGTAATAACTCTGCTATCATTTATTTCAGAGCTCTATCAGAAATCATAGGCGAGCGTCTTCCATACGACAGCTTGGACGAGGTCCGTGACCGCCTGAGCCAGATTAGTCCCGCGCTAGTTACCTACGGCAATGTAGAGAACAACAACTACTTCGCGCAGGCTAGGGCTCTTGCACAGGTACGATATTGAATATTCTGATAAGTAGCTTATGACGTCATCATACAGAAAAGGTAGTCCTTAACGCAAAATTGTTTTCACAGAGCCTCCAGAAGCCAGTGTCTGGCAAGGTGGACGTGCAGCTGAAGCAATTAGAAGACTTCTTCATGACGGACACGATCAGTCGCGCCTCGCCCACAATGGCCAAGTGCGTGCAGGCTGTCCTCAAACAAAAGCAGTCCAAGTACTAGGCGAACAACTTAGGAGTACGACACACGAACACACCTCATTTTTAACCTGAGAGTATTATCTCCTCCTAAGATTCCGGTGATCACCTTATTGTGTATACACATACGTACTATAATTGCTTGTCTCGGAGCTCCGTGTGTCGTACAATTTATTAAATCTTTAAGATATATTCCCAGCTTTTGTCGTTTGAGTTTTGTACGCTTACACCGACTTTTGGTACTAGTAACGTTACAAAATTACGTTTTTAGGAGTGAGAGCAGAAAACTCAAACGTGTCAAGTTGTATTTTAGGGTAATTATAAAATTTATATTTTGCCTTTCTGCAATCATTTTTACGAGGAAAATACTACAGAAATGCACTTTGCGTGGTCGAGGACCGTGTTACCTCCGTACCTCACTCGATACATTTATATGACTAGAAACTTCGACTGCGCATGTACATTGTGATTTGTAGCTATTTATTTTGTTATTTAATAGATAAGCATAACAGTGTTGCAACAATTATAAAATTTTCAATATATTAAATTATTCATGGTACTCAGTAGCGAAGGAATGAAGAAAAGTGACCGTTCGTAACTTGAATGTAAGGACCGATATTTGTAAATAGTAATGTTTGTAGTATAAAATAAAATGTAGTATAATGATTGTCGAAACAGTTTTTTATTTTAATTTAACACTAAAATTTCACATTTAGGGACCTACTAACTATTGTTTTAATTATAATTCGGGGTTGTCCTATTCAATCCGTTGTATTTTTTGTATTCCTGCAATAAAAAATACGTATTAATAACCTGGTCAAATTAGAAAGTCATAATATGTTCATGAGACATCCGTATAGGCGTCTACATTTTCCCATTGTTATCATTTTATTATAATTACTGCAATGTTGATTACCTTCAACCTAATTTTATCGAAATACATGAATAAACGTAATACCAACATCAATAACTTTTCTCGCGGGTATTTTGTTCTTGCAGTCGCTTAATGTTTTTTCAGCGTTTTTGAAGAACAGCACATGCAAGCTGTTTGTGCCGGACCATGGACTAGGTTCCTTCTCACGACGTCTCAAGTCCACCAACAGCTTTCTCTGTGGCCCGAAGTATGGGAGCGGTTTGGCTGCTGAAGTAATTAAATATGAAAAATTAGTGGGGATGCCGTTACAGAATGTAGAACATAATTTTGACTTTAAGGTCTTGAAGGTGACGAGAATGCCACTAGGCATTAAGTCCGCCATTGATATCTATTGTACGAAAAGTAAATAAATAAAAAAATAATTCGAACATCATGTTTTTTAAATGGCGAAGTGCGGATTTCTCCAGGGTTAGTGATGGATGAATACATGTTTTTTTATATAAACGATTTTATTTAGTCTGCTCCGTTTGTTAGTTTGCGTCAAATTTAGTATTCATGGATATTGAACGAAAGGGCTTGATTGGTAGAATAGAGGCCATAGAACCGTTTAAAAATATTATAATGTATTATTTTCTACCGTCATACCTCTAACCTCCGGCTCAATAGTATCTCGCGCCGCTTTCTTCATAATGCGTGGTTTTTCGGACTTCGTTATGTAACATTGTCGGTCACAGTAGCACTTGTTGATGTCTTGTCGATGATTCACAGCTTCAGCCATTGATTTGTTAATCTCAGCTACAGTCTTGTTGTTTTTGCGATGTTGTTTTATCTTCTCTATATTTTTGCGTTCTCTTTTATCCGCTCTATTTAGAATGGAAAAGTCTTAAACTTTTTCAGTTTGTGTGATCACTATCAGTGCAAAATAACCATCTACATACCTTTTTGGTGTTAAATTGCACTAACTACTTACACCATGTATCAATTGGTTAATTAGTCCTAGGATTGAACTAAGATTAATAATTTCAAATTATGATTTGACTTGACTTTAACATAGAAAAGGGGAAGCCATAGTGTGTAGGTAAGTTAATATGTTATGTAGGTATTTATATAAATTCTATTTTTACCTATCTTCTCCTTTCTTGATATGTTTTTCGATAAAGTCATCGAAAATTTTCTTTTTCTCTAATTGAAACTGTTTTGTGGCATTGAAGTTATTTTTCATTTTTGATGTATCTTGGTACTCTTTGAAGATCTATTGATAAAACCAATAAACCAATCATAGAGTTGTTATACTTACAAAAATACCTAAAATCTCCAAGACCTTTTTTCCGCGTGAATTTTTCCATTGGTTTCATTTGACTGCACATAGCCTATACAGAGGACCCAGTTGTACCTTGGACCTAGGGATATCCTCTCTATCTATTCACCTGATTGGCATAGACTGCCATGATTGCCCTACACGTAATTTTTAGGGGTGCCCCCATACGTAAAACACCTTGGATGGTCTTAAAGGTGTTTAGCGGCATACCCGATCATGGACTTGTTTGATTTGAAATTTTAGTTGTTCCTGTTCCTTCCGACAAACTTCTATCTTAGCAAGATACTCAGCTTCCCATTTAGCTAGCTCGTCTTTTGTCTTTTTGTATTCAGCTGCACATTGGTCTAGAGCTTGTTTTTCTAGAAGTTTCATTTTGGTCTGAAAGGAGAAGAAAAAGTGGTAAAAAACGACGGGTCAGTATTTGATTTTTTAAGGGGGGAAAATCATCGAAAGGCTTCTCCCGCCTGGGTGAGGCGGGAGGAAGTGTCAGACTCTTACTGGCTAAAAACCACCCCGTTCCTACTCCTGAATTTCGAGCCGGAGCCCCGGTAACCAGTTAGGTTCTCCGCGACGTCAGAATTTGATTAGCTTCACAACTTCGTATTCGTTGCTATGTACGTAGAAGATTTACTTTTACAAATCATCATTATTGGTAATCTCCAGGCTTGGATTGGAAATCGCAGTCTATCAGAAGGAAGGCACAGCTACTTGGTATTTAACAAAAGCTTTTACGATACGAGCAAGAAGATTAAAGGTGGCGATGAATGATTTCTTCTGTTTGTACTGTCGTCTAAACCTAATCAAAAAGAGACTAGTTCAGACATTGGTCTTCCCTATCTTCCTCTATGGTGCAGAGTCGTGGATTATTAGAGCCTTAGATCGCAAAAAGATAGATGCTCTCGAAATGTCATGTTGGCTAAGAATGCTCCGGATACCATGGACTGCCAGACGAACAAATAGGTCAATCCTGGAACAGCTCAATATAAACACTAGACTGTCGACCGTATGTTACCAACGAATGCTTGGATATTTCGGTCACATTGCCCGCCGCCAGTCAGATAACCTCGACAAATTGGTTGTTGTTGGTAAGGTGGAAGAAAAAGACCAAGTGGCCGATCACCTAGCCGATGGTGTGACCACGTTGCCAACTACACTGGACTCTCTGTTACGAAAGCTCTGAGAGAAGCCGAAAACAGGAGAAGATGGAGGGAAATAACTCAGAGAGCAGAGCAATGAAAGCCTTTCAGGGGCACGACCTTCAGAAATGAAGCAAGCGATCGAGAAGAAGATACTGTCGTCACTTTATACAAATAACTTTGTACTCTACAAAGTAGTGATCTGAGTAGGTAGTTCTGTTACCTCGGCTTCTTTTTCAAGTTCCAGAAGACGCTTCATTAATTTTGCGTTACCAAGATCTTCTTGCTTTTGTTTCTCTTTCGCCTTAGTTTCTTCCTCTTTTTGTTTTTCAAACCTTTGATAAACAAAAGAACGAGAAATTATGATAAGATACCATCATTGAGGTATCTATTATTTTACAAGGTGATATAGAAACTTCAACACATCATTAGAATGGACTAAGCAGTTATTAATCTTGAACCTGTCTTGTAAATTGTAATAGACTTTAGCTGATATTGATATCGTGGACTAGGGATATTAATTAATAACACATCTATCTATTAATAATATTGTTGTTTCACCCTAGCCGGTTTGCCCCAGCCGACCATTGCTTTTGTCTCTGTATCTGCCCAAAGTCTGGCTGGAAGCGAATGCCCATGACATTAAACCCACCTTTTCCTACTTACATAAGTATTTGCATGAAGCCTTTTTAAATAAAATAGGTAAATAAATAAAGCAATGTTTCAACCGGCAACGTAACAAACTATAATTTTTTAACATAACATAACATAACATCACGCATTTTATCCCCGAAGAGGTAAGCAGAGGTGCACATTATGCCACTGTACAATGTGTGTTACATTGATCACAATTTATGTTATAAGTCCCATGTAATAGGGGGTGAGCCTATTGCCATATAACCGGGCACAATTCCAGACTCCGTGCTATTACTGAGATTTTTTTAAACCCACGAATACTTTGCCCGACCCGGGAATCGAACCCGAGACCTCTTGCCCGGCAGTCGCAATTGCGACCACTCGGACAACGAGGCAGTCATACATTTCTTTTGCTTACATTTCTTTATTCGCTTTGGATGTTTCAACGTCAATACATTTCTGTTGTTCCTTCATAGTCTCCTCGTCCTTGTCCAAATCGAAGGTACAGAACTTCACAGCTTTAGTTATCTTCTGTTCTTGTTCCGTTTCCTTTTCTTTTATTTCTTTTTTAAAATTTATTTGTGCCTCTCTCTCTTCTTGATCCTTGGATTCGTGAAGCGCGCTGAAAGGAAGTGTTTACATTTAAGTACAAAAGTATTACGTAATGTGCATACTTAGGTCGCCTAGCGTCGGGTACATCATCGCTTACCATGGTGGCCAAATGCTACCTATACTTTTTTTTTAAGGGGGGAAAATCATCGAATGACTGCTCCCGCCTGGGTGAGGCGGAAGGGAGTGTCAGACTCTTACTGACTAAAAACCACCCCGTTCCTTCTCCTGCATGTTGAGCCGGAGCCCCGGTTACCCGTTAGGTTCTCCGCGACAAATGCTGCCTATCCTTATAAATATTAAAAGGTCATAATTACCTACAATACTTTTATATATAGGCACCAAATTGCTTGTAATATAAAAATAAAATAGTCGTTTTATTTACTATCGAGTCACGGGTGATAAACATCAATGGCTGTATGAAATAAAATGAATTGACTTGTTTGTATTCGAATCTTTTGAACCGAGAATGCTAATTAATATTTTGTCGATTGTTATTTAATAGGTACCTTATAAGTTTTCTTCCGTAACAGCTTTCTTCAAAGATCTGTTGTCTCGCCTGTTGTATGACTTCCTCGTTATTTTTCACGATCTTTCTATTTGAAAACTCTTTGACTAAGGCGATTTCTTTAGAACGTTGTTTTTTCTTTTTCTGCTCTGCTTTTGCTACACAACCCTAAATGAAACGTTATTTGTTTAAATTTTCAGGCTTAAAGGTAAGTTTTATTAGAACATGAAATCCTCTCCTTTTTTTGGTAAGTAACTTATAGAATTGGCTGTTTTAGGTGTTAGGGAGAATAAACCAATATTATTATGTTAATAAACTGATCATTACGTACTTCTACGGTGTCAGGCCAATTTTTCAGCCATGCCTGCGACTGCTCTATCAAGGCCTGCACATATTTATTCTCTTGTTGCAAACGTTTCTCCTGCGGCTTCGTCTGCTTTGTGATTCGGTCCCATTCTGTTTTATGAAGAATCAAATTGCTCAGTCCGCTACTAGGATTTGTATAAAAATGTATTTTTGTTTGTGTCATGACGAAAAATGAAATTTCTTATTAATTAAGTAAATCTATGTAGCTTCGGTATTTTGCTTAGATACCAATAATAGTTATGTTAGCTTGATTATAAGTGCAGTACAGATGACGCAGTATTTACATGGTCGATGCTAGTCCTTAGTTATTTGTGAAGATTACAAAAATATAGTTACAATCAAGGAAAATAAGACGCAATTTTATTTAGGTAGCTTTGTATTTCACTATTTACCTACATTCAATAAATCTAATTTCCGCACATAAGTAGGTAGGTACTTATCATGGGTATAGTTCCAAGAATACGATTGTGTTGTTTGCGATAGTTCCAATATTTTAGGTCAAATGGACAATACATTGGAACTTATACATTCAATATTCATTGACTCTGGTATTGACAACTATTTTCTTTGTGGTCACGGACGTGTATGGGGATTCCGTTACTATTTATGGGAGTCTTATTGTGTTCATAAACAACGTAAATCTTGATGCCTTTTATATGTAGGTATGTAATTGTATGTGAATGTGATATCGATATTTTTATGTAGGTACCTACTTAAATCTAGTAAGTAGTACGGACTACCTACCCAGCGTACGGCGCGTCGCGTTCCGCGCGCGCCTCAAAGAGCCATCAGACCACCACAGATGGGGCCCAATACGGCCGATGCCGATTCGGAGTCGCGGAGAACCTAACGGGTAACCGGGGGTCCGGCTCGACGTGCAGGAGAAGGAACGGGGTGGTTTTTAGTCAGTAAGAGTCTGACACTCCCTCCCGCCTCACCCAGGCGGGAGCAGTCATTCGATGATTTTCCCCGCTTAAAAAAAAAAAAAAACGGACTACCTACCTAGGTAGGTATCTAGATACAGACCAACATCTCTACTCTACTACTAATGACTACAATTGTACAAACCTTGAAGTTTGTAAGTGCAGTAAGGTTCATTGGCTGCTCAGATATCAGAATTTTACAATGAATATCTTTTAGGATGTTATTTTATAATTTTGTTAGGGTTTTTTATATGATTTTTGTGATGTGTTCTGGAAACAAAGATACATAGGCACTCGGCTCTTTGTAATGCGTTACTCAATAGCAAGGTGTTCAGTAAAATGAATTTCTTTGATCGATTTGCTGTTTATTTTAAGTGACTTACAGGAATGTCATAAAATGACGATGTAAAGGGCTATATAAACACACATTAGTGCTAGACCCACATACGTACATACGTACAAACCGCATATGAAATGACGTGGACATCAAATGATCGCCATCTCTTCATGTGGTTATCTCGGTAAACATTTAGCTCTTTGATACTAAGTTTTATTTGGGACCGGATAGCGTTAATTAGATTAAATAACCGCCATGCCGCCATTCCATGGAGTGGGATAGGAAATTGAGCGAAACGATGGACGGGCGCCATTTGAGCCACCGTGTTGAGCTCATTCGTCAATGTCACGCCACCACGTTGTTTGGTATATTTTTGCATAAAAATAACTTATACAGCACTATGAAATATTATGGAAATATGAAGCGTTCCTTGCTTCCCAGTGCTTGTATGCGAAATGTGAATATTATAAGTCGTGAAGAATCTCATAGGTACCTATACTACCTAGAATAGGTAATATTTACCATTTATGTCTCAGTTATTGGTAGTTAAGATTTAATGATAGCATAAATTACATTTACTTAACATTTATGTGCGCTTTCACTGTACCGTAAGTACAGGATAGACGATTAATGTTCATAGAAATCAATATTGTACAGAATGTTTTCTAGGCATTGTTGCCTATTAATTGAATTTCTTATAGGAAGATAATATCTGCCATCTGCAAGCTCGTAAAGATTACGAATACGAAGCAATCATATCGTGCTAATTTCCGATTGGAATTTAATGTTACGATCGTACATGTAAGTACAATAAAAGCGGTACACGTGTCAATATCAGTAAACACGATTCTGGAAACGCGTCGAGTGGGACAAATAGACGACAAATAAACAAAACGTCGTGTCGTCGTCCCTCGCGATCCCGACACATGTGAGCTTTACCCGCTTTGTAACTGTCCTAACTTTTTATGCAAGCCTGGTACCGCGCCCGGCCATTTGTTTCAATTGCATTGCTTGTAGGTTTGTAAAAGTGAGTAATTTGTTGATGTGTGGTCTTCGATACGGATGGGGCCACCCATTTTTACTTTGGAAGTTGTAAAGAACATGCATTCTGACAACATGTTTGGGAGACACAAGAATACCTAAAGATGTCATTAGAATAAAAAAGCTTGTAAAAAGAAATGTCTCACTTTTGGTTACGGTTATCAACTTCATAAAGTAACTTAATAAATAACAGTCTACCTAAGTTGCGATTCTATAGAACGAAACCAAATATTTGAAGACTGTTTCAACCGCACACATTTTCAATTCGAATTTGTATAAGCAATATAGCTTTTGAAATAGAAATACGAAGAGTAGTGAAATACAAATTGAATTTGCACCTTTTCTTAAGACGTAGATTCCGTACATGTTCGTTTCAGCGAAGCTTTGGTGCACACAGACTTGGGTACCCCGCCCCAAGTCCCTACCTATTAATTTGTTCGTTCCTTGTGATTAATTATGATAAACTCGAGAATGCTGTAGTTCAATTAGGTAAAGGAATGTTTTAGAAACAGTTTCGCAATTTGTGGTTTTTAAACGTTTAATATTGAGTGTCTATAATTTATATTAAGTTCACTGTTTAACTCTAAGGGCTACAGGGTAAGATTTTAAGAATTAAGAATGTTTTACAGGTTATTTACGTACTTGTTCAAGGATTCTCGACAAGTTTCAAATCATGGCAGGGGATTATAATCATGAGCGGCAAGCATCGTTACACGTTTCCGTGCAGGTACCTTATTAGGTAATTTTACAATATAATTATGTTTGTTTTTGGTATGCTTACGCTATATGTGTAAGTACAAGGATTACGTACTTAAATACCCATTTACAAACCCAACCTTAAGATTATGCTTCTCGTATATCTAGATGCTAGAGGTATATTAATTTTGGATTGATAGAAAACATGAAGTACACCTGGAACTTATTTCAAGTAACATGTAAAAGCCACTCAAGTATGTTGGCGATAAGTTTAAGTTCGTAAGTAGATAATAATCTAGTCAAAGTGAATTCAACTATATTGGATTAACCAAGTATTTCTTTACTTTCTAAATAAAGATATTGTGTTATTCTGAGGAAATATTGTTTATAATTTCAAATTCAGAAATTCGAATTAAGTAGATTATCTGGGACTCGATTCCGAGATCTTATTATATCGATAGTTGTACAAGCTCTATTCGAATAACTGAGCTGTCTTTATCTAACAAAAAAAAAAACAAAAACAATGCCTGCATTGAACAAGACATTTTCCTCAACCTCAATATTTTTTAACTAAAGATTTTTGTAAAAGGAATAAAAGCAGACATTGAAACGATAAATAAACATTAGTGCGATGATTTCTTATTAGTTCTACGTTTGAATGCAGGAGACGGCACCTAAGCTAAGCTTGTGTACTGGCTGGTTGCAGTCCGGGGCTCTATCGGAAAGCCGTGAGATACGTCTGCGTGACTCGCATGGAAATTTATTCATGAAACTGTGTTCCTATGCATTGATACAGATCTTCGCAATGAAAAAATGTCTTTGTATGTCATGTAAGTACGTGTATTAATGCATAAAACATTTTTTTTGGTATCTTGTAAGTATTGAGGCAATTTGTTACATATTTTGTGCCTTTTTGAATAAAGTAGGCTTAGGTAATGCAACTGTTGTTGAAGTATTTGTTTCTGTGTACTCACGCACCGATCACATTCCCACAGGTGCCAAGTTATCGCGACGGGTTGGTCCGAAATTAGTAAAACAATCTTCAATAAATTAATTTTGAGAAAAATGAAAAGCTTTAATAATCACAAGTTGTATTAGATATTTGTTGTAGTTGTACAATTTTTGGATGTTACTCGTTTGTTCTATGGTAGTAGATTTTGGTAGGTACTTCTTTAAAAAAGTTTAATTCAAAAAGTTTCTATACCTTTACAATGTAAATTAAAAACACTTTTTTATTTGTCTTTACAAGTGAAGCCGTTTCATTTGTATAAATCGAGGCGTGTTGCCTGGCGCCACTCCACTGCTCAAGTGGATTCTGTCCGTTTGTCCCACGTTCGTAGCACTTGACTTTTAGCAGGTAGCCGCCCGGTGCTAACAAGTATTGTATTCGTTCATGCGACTTCAAATAGAAATATTTAATAACTTAATTCTATTCTAACTAGACGATTTACGAAAAAAAATTAAAAAAATCGATGCTTTTATTAATCAATTAATAAAAACAGGTTAATACATGGTGTAAACGAAACGCTCCCGAAAAATGGCGACAGGTGATGGTCAAAATAAGTTTTATTTTCATAAAAGTACGGAATTAGGTAAATGTTTCTTTTATGTAATAATGTATCAAAGAAGAAGAAGTAATTAAAACACACTTAAATGTCATATTTTATTACAACTTATTTTTAATTATCTTATAACATTGCGTGTTTATTTACTTACTTAACCATAAAATATAATTAACATTTGGTACCATTCGTAATTATTAAAATTGTATCTCAAACTTCAAGAAACCATAAATTATATCTGAAATAATAAAACTGAGAAAAAAAATCCTCGAAACAGTTTATTACCCAGCTTTGTAACAGAACAAAATTGGTCACATCTGTGCACTGTTTAAATTAAAAGTAATTTTCTTATGCAGAATTAATTAATGACTAACGAGCTCAATAGGGTTCATCAGGCGGAAGCGTTGGAAGGCGATAACAATATACACTAAGTCCTACGAGAGACAAGGACGGGGCGTTTAGAAGCTGGAGTTGAATGAATTTATGCCGGTCTATTTAGTAACGCGTCAATTTGGCGCGAGAAAGGTTGTGAGGGAGGTTACATTGGGAACATAAACGAAAAGCGCGCGAATATTATTATCGTGAATACAGTGCCTGTGGAAATTAAAAAAAAAGTGAACTAAAATCATTGGATTTTATTGTTTATGGTTTTTTTGCGCGCGAAATGTGGTGTGTTTTGAGAGTTGTGTGTAATTAATGTTAAATTCTTTAGTATGATTAAGAACAAACAAATGAGATAACGCATGTCCGGAGACTAATTTTCAAGATACGTTAGATAAAATGGACTAGAAATAATTTGCAGAAATAAAGGGGATTCAAAATATAACTCTGACAACCTTTGGTAAGTACCTACTACCTTTACTTGTACATTATTTTTTTTTTGTAATGAATGTAACAAAAAGTAAATAAATTAAAGATATATGAAAAGAAATAGAAATACTTCGTGTTATTAATATTAAATCTAATTCTGTACATCGTTCTGTAATAATTGAACATTCTTCACTTCTTCAGTAATGACTGTCTGTGATCCAATTTCCCAAAGAAAATTTTCCTTTGATGTTTTAATGACAAATAATTTAAATAAATTACACTTACATAAAGCCTGGTGTGAGATCTAAAGTTTTTGAAGTAATATTAATATGAAAAATGAAATACGTTTTTCATTGATAGGTACTTTTTAACTTTGATTTGTCATATTAGTAGTATATATTTTTTTTAATGACAAATATTTTTTATTCCGCTATTTTTTTATTAAGTATGTACATATAATACTATTTCGCGACTATTATTATATACAACAGAGTGTAGTTATTTAGATTTGCAATCAGTACCTCAGTAGCTAAGTAGCTACGTAGTTTCATCGAAAGCAAATATTATGTACCTAAGTAAAGTACCTATGTTAAATTGAAGAATTTAATTAGGTTTGAATTGAAAATAAAATTAAAGGTGTGTTTTTCTAAGTCGAAATTAAAATATTTAAAAATTAAATAAACTAGGAATAGATTTCAGATTAGGTGGGTACTTACATTAATAGACAATTGGTTTTTTCAGCGCCTTTGCTTGTGTAACAGATATACAATAATTTTGAGGAAATTGTGTTCAGTGTAATATTCAATAACTTTTATAGTGTCAATTAGTAAAATGTCATGTCCATGTGGTTGTGTATGTTGCTGTACTTATATCGGCGACACAAATAAATATGTAGATAAATAATTACTATAATTATAAATAATACACTTATCCTTCAGAAAGATTTAGAAAAGTACACTAACGGTTTGAGATACTAAGAATACTAAGGATACTAAATTCCGCAAATAGTTCATGAATGTTTAGTACGGAAGGACCTCAAGGATCACGACTGTACTTAGTTGTAGTTTTTTAAGACATCTTCTGTAGCACGCTTACAGAAAGGACCGTACGAAACTATACCTATGTCAACCTGAATTTCATTGAGAATCCAATTGAATTTTCTTCTAAAGTACAGCTATTAAAATTATGTATTTATAAGGTTACTTCTTTTATGGACGCAAGTAAAGTACTAGTTGTGTCTTAGGGAGCAATAAAACGTCAACTTCGATCGTTATAATGTTCAAGCCGGATTTTTGGTACATTATCTAAGATTTATTGTCGGATCATACTTGAAGACTATTTTATTACTAACGTAGGCTTAGTACCTAAAAAAGTAGGTATTAGATGTTATGGTAATTGTCATTTGTTCAACGCTAGACAAATTCATGTTCTCTAGTAAAATTTTGATACACGGTAACGATCGAACATAAGGAATGTCTAAAATGTCATGAGCTACTAAGAAACTATCAATTTTCAATAACCAAACAGATACAAATATTTTTAAACCTGACTCTAATAATAAATTATAGGCAAATCTGGTAGATGCAATCGTAGTAGGTAGGTACTTATAAGAAATCATCTAGGTACCTTCGAGTCTACGAGACATCAACGAGATTTACCTAGCATTCTCATTTCACAATAGTCTTCCTGCAAATATCTCAGCTCTACGGACCCCATTTCCTTACAGCCACAACCATAAACTTTTTAATTTGCATTAGGGAAATCCAAGTTTAAATTCCTTTTCAAATATTTACGGAGGTTGCTATAACATTCTCAAAGACAAACTTCTAGACAACACTTTACGGCGTAAAAGCCTAAGTTTACTTCAAGTTGAGTCCGCGTAGAGCTATAAAGCATTTTTATTTTAGTTTGGTAGATTCTCATGGTCCGACGGTTTTGCTTTGATTTGTGCGAAAAGTTGGGACGAATGTGAACGCAAATGTTGCACGTACTACACATTAATGTGAGCACATGTTATTGTGGCCGGTATACATGTGTTCGCGTACATTTGTTATAGTCGTCGTCGGACTACTGTTTGATACGCCGACTATTTAATTAACATTTGGAATGTAGGTCGCATAGCTGCCTGATTAATTTAAAGATGCTAAAAAAATAAGGGAAGCCGAAAATCATGGCAGTTTATTAACGCCCGTTCTTTTTACAAATGGTGACGGCTCGACGGGAAAATGAAAATGTTTTTCCGTCGGTGTTCATTAATTTACTAATGATTTCGTTATCCGGCTTGTTCCTTGATGTCAGCTACGGTTTCATCCGCTCTGTTTGTAACACCTATGCTTAGTAAAGGTGAAACCGAATAGGTACAGGAAAAGCACCGAACCTATATTTACACATGTTCAATTACTTTTTTCTTTAACAACAATTTAATTAGAAGCAGTAATGTTTCGAAGGACCACTTACTAACTTGGCATCACTTTACACAACGTTTACAGACTCGTAAAATGTTCAATTACGCGTGCCGATGTAAACTGCCAAATATCTCTGTTCTCTATTACATTTAATCAAGTGCAACGTACGAGTCTCAACCGTGTCGTACTTGTAAACGAGAACGCGCTCTAATTAGTCCCAACACGGCGATAAAGGCGGTAATGTGATAAATTAACGACTGTTCCTCTCACCGACTTTGATATCAAAAGCTTACGTTACACGCCGGTAGGGCCCATAAACTACTATGTTTAGACGCTAATATGATTTGTTAACGGCCCACAAAATGTGGAGGGTTCATTATTTTTATGTTTATTTTAATTATGCCGAGACATTGTAGTTAGCTTCAGTAGGTACTTGTTTTCCAATTATAATCGATTTAAGTTTTAAATCACTGTTTGCAGTAATAAAAATTAAATGTGTCCATCACTATGAGCAGTGGATGCGAGTGTACTTAATCGGGCATCAATCACGTAGGGATTGCTTGATTTATTGATGCTATTGATTTTATTGGCGATCCTATCTGCGATGACTCAATGTAGTTGTATTGTGTTTACACAGTATTTAGTAGTACCCTATCTATTTATAAGACTCGGATTCTATCGAATGACTAAAGTTCAATGCAAATTAAATATTTGGGAGATTGATTAATATCTATTAACTTTTCAAGTACATAAGGAAAAGCCCTGTGAAACATGAGAATAATTAATTTGGTCATAATATTTCTGTGTAATTTGATTTGATTTAGAGGATTTCCTAGATTTCATGAAATACATAATAAAATATTAAGTATTTAATGTTTACATCTTTAAAAAGTTTCTACGGTACATTAAGTTAAGCAATTTCATGTTTCAGATGTAGAAGAATATTGCAACGCTTGTATTGGAAAATATGGACGAGACCATTAAAAGTTGCAGCAGATTTCGAAGAAGGCAGGACGATATGCTTAAATCTAGCTTTATATTCCTGCTCGTTACACTGGCCTGTGTAAATTCGCAACGTAAGTTGTTTCTGTTATTTTCCCTGTAAATGTTGTTCTGTATTGCATTTTTCTCTGCAATGCAAAGATGTAAAATAAGGTGATCAAATTTGTCACTGTTCTATTTTGTGTTCTGTTCTCCAATAACGACAATAAAATAGTTCAACATCAAAACAATAATTTGTTTTATTAGGTACAAACCTAATAAAATAAATTTAAAAGTAATATCATGTTTCTATAAATCGTCTTCGAAATAAAATTCTATCCCGAGGCAAGAGTCCCTCAGTACTTTTGAGAAAAGTTAAGGTAGTACAAAGAGAAATACTTAAATCAATTAGTTAACAGAAGTTGATTTAATTTAAAAATACGTAATGAAGTATCGCTAGCCACTGAGCACTCACAGAAAAATGAGAATCTAGCAACTGAGACAGATTTTAAAAAAAGGAATACGATGAAAGAAGTTTGCATTTCAGTTCATTTCAATAGAGCTTGATTTCTTTTTGAACTGAGAGGCCATCATATGTTTAAATTATGACATAAGCAGGGCGTAAAGGCGCCAAACTATAGTATTGAGTGTGCTTTAGCTTTCAGGGCACCGACTCAACTTTTCTCGTAATTTCAAGAAGCATTTCGCTTGGAATTCTATCAGTAAATATCCTTATCGCGTTGCTGGCATGAAGAGGAAATTATTAATAGCCCTTTACAACTATATTTTGCGTTGAGTGGCAACACCGGTGTCTTATAAGGTTTTAGTAATATAGTTGATAGTGAAGACATAGCTGTATAGAATATGATGTGATTATCCGGTTTAGCGACAGTGTAATCACAGGTCTGAACTAAGTTATTCCTTCAAAGAGGTCGGTTTACACTATCGGCTAGTCTAAGTTAGTTCAGATGAATATTTTTTCAACTTTTGTTTGATTAATGTTTAGAGAGCTATATCCAGTCCAAGAAAACAGTCAGAGATAAATCTTAACATTTTATCGGCTTTTTGTTAAAACGTTAGATACAAACGGCTCTGTAGGACTAGGAGCACAACTTTACCTAAAAATAACGGGTTATTGTATTATTGTATAGGCAGATCGTTATAGGACTCGGTTCCCAGACCCGTAAAGCAGCACAGAAACGTCCGAATCAAATTTGATTACAGTCCGTTCAAATATTTGTACTAGGAGCACTGAGATCCGAGAACGCGATAGTGTAGATGTAGACCTACCCTGACTATACGTAGATATGCTAGATCCGGTATGCTTCCTATAATTTGGTTCTAACAAAATCGGGCTCTCGGGGGATTGGCTTATTAAACTGGTTTGCCAACAACTTTGTAAATATCTACTGCTTTCTCTCTGTTATTGAAAGTAATTACGTTCGTATCAAGCAAAATATAGACGCTTGCATTATAATTTTGGATTTATTCAATGTGCGCCTGTTTCACTTTATTATTTGGAAATCTGGTAATAAGAATTTGTTTTAATGATTCAAAGTGTTTTCCTCATGAGATTGTAGGCCCAAATATTATTCAAAGATTTAAATCTATTAAGGGTACAAACATTGAATGAATCAGCTTGAGAATCAGAATTTTCAGGTCAAGAACGTCCATTAGTTTGAGGTTCGTTTTCATCTCGATATCTAAATCGTGCAATAACTGGGAGTGATATGAATAAAAGCGGTCGTTAGAGGAAATAGATCAAAAGCTTTATACCGTCATCTGTAACTGTCACAGCTACTTTATTGTGGTCTGGCACCAGCTGTTGTGCTCCAGCCGACTGATCCCTCGCCTATACAAATAACTTGCATGCTATAAAACATTCTGTATTCATGTTTCTAATTTTGTTCCAGACATAACAGCTTGCTGTGACAAAGCCGAGGGGACGTGTCGCAGCGTATGTGAGAAGGTAGCTAATCTTCATCACTTGACCGCATTTTCCAGTGTTGTAGTGCTGCATGTTAAAGCTTCGATCCAATCGATTACGTTTCCCCTTGCGCGCCGCTGACCGTGTCATATCAGGCACGTACCGCTTAACCATGTAGGAATCCTTCGTTAACGCGGACACGGATATTCCGCATCGCACCTGGTGTCTACTCAACCGCTAAATATTCTTAATCCCCAAAGATTTCCAATCAAAGTTTTCACTCGAAAGCTAAATTGACTAATTAAATAGATTTATCGCTTCCCCAAAAGTTTTCGGTCGTCGTATATTTTTATCCGCGTCTGCCGAGGTCATTCAATATTTTGTTCAACATAATGGTAGTGTACAGAAACCACAAAAGCCACGCGACTCTTTTGAGTTCCTTTTATAGTGTCCGTCCGTGTCTTTGATGTAACGTTTCATCTAAAACAAATAAAGGAGACGTTGACATCTACGAATTCATCTATGATTTCCTCGGTGGTGTGTCTTCCTGTGTTATTGAAATATTATGCTAAGAAAGTTATTCGAGTCGACGCGTCGATTCTAATCAAGAATCGCGTCACAGCCCGGTCCGTTCCCAGAAAGCGCGTCGAGTGAATAAAAGTTAAATTATTAAAACGTGTAAGAAGAGACGAACACCGTGCACTAATACATTCGTATTTAATTCCGTCTTGTTAGGGAACACCGCGTGACGGCCGCTTCCTCCCCCGCGACACTGTTTGAATAAGTTACGCGCCACCGTCGATACTTTGTTATATTCATAAATGTCTTCGATAAACTTTTATTATAACCACTGACCAGTATTCTCAAGACATTCTATACAATCGAGTAGCAGATACATAAGAGTTAACTCAGTGGGACTTAGATATAAATGCTGTTATCCTTGTTGATATAATCGATACGATAATGAAGCTACAACCCTAATTCATCCGGTGATTTTGTACGTCACAACCAACCGGGGTCGAGACGGCAACAATCTAAATAAAGTGGCTCCTCGTTAAACCAGCCATTAAACGTACTTAACCCCTAGTAAAAGGGCTTTGTCAATTAATTGAACCGATATAAAACAATATGCCTTCTATGAATAGAAAAATGATTAATTGACAAATAGACTGGTCTGTAATTTGACATGAAAATGTTGTTTACCACGAATAGGAGTGTAATTGGTACTAGATGACAAGGCACCGCTATCCAATATAATGGCTTAATAACAGCGCCAGCCATTTTACTGTGGGGTGGACAGGGTAATGACATCAAAAAGTAGCCGGAATAAAACCTATGCAGTATTTCATGGGGTTTTTCCTGAAACAGTGAACACATTTAACGTTAATGTTATGAACCTATAAACTTTTATGTAGATAGCTCGGCGATCTGATGACAGCGAAGGGATTTTATTAGCTGCAAAGAAATTAACAGTTTATAGAGGCATTCAATTATATATCTTGAAATACTGATACAGTTTGTAGTCTACATATTAGTTTTAAGCTTCCACATTCTTCCACAAAAATCTTAAATTGAAGGAAACGGAGAATTCTTCAACAAAAAATGTTTTTGTAACCCTCAGAATTTATTTATGGCGACATTTCATCCGGTGCTCACAGGATATCACTATTAAAAGATGAATAAAACAAATTATTCAGACAAATTTGATTTGACTGTATCAAAGTTTTAGATATAAATATTAAAGCCGTTCACTAAACATTATATCTCCAGTCATCCAGTGAGATAAAAGAAAAATATATAAGTGCATAGGTAGTAGATATTTAGACAATCTAACACACCTTTGCTCATATTTATAATAGAAGGTGTATGGCGTAGTGTATTGTTACTAATATGTGATAAAGTTGTCCATTGTACCGTGTATACGAACATGTGGTGGGTTTATTAAGATGTTACAATCTAATAAAATGCTCTGGAATTTATAGTGTGGCAGTGATGAATCTAGCGAGCGTGTGTACTCACCACACTCGCGACACAATGAGCTTAGACTTCAGAGCAAAACACTTCGACGTTAAAATTGTAGCAAAATTCTTGTGTTATTTTGTAGTATTTTTAGTTACGAATTAAAGAAAAAATAAGCTTTCGGTAAAAAAATGTCACTGAGCTGAATCCAGATAGCTGAATTGAAACGGACAATTAAAAAGAAATGACTAAATCAGAACATAAATTTATTTATCGAATAAAACTGAATGTTATATGAAGTTGTTCATAGATCGTATCTTGGTGTTCTGTAGTGTTTGACAACCCTATCAACGTAATGGTTTACTCGACCAGTGAACAAGCTAGTTTATTAGATACACGAAGCGCAATCTTGTACTTGTTACAGTTAGCATTCATTGAAACTGATGTCGCCCATTACACGATTGCTATACATGGTCCGTTGACCGAATAAAAAATATTTCAATAATATTTTCAGCTGTATCTACTATTA